TGTTGATTTGAAGAAGCCTGACGTGTAATCATCATAAACCCAAGAGTCTAAGAAATGTAAGTTTGAACCAGGACCCATGAAACAGTGTACATGTAGGCTACTTTGTATAGCAGGATCACGGAAGTTCCTTATCGATATGTCTTATTGGCCGTGTTAATATATTTGGATTTGATAAATTGCAAATACTTGTAGATACTTTTCTAGTACGGATATACGAGTTAAGAGAGTATTGTAAGTAAATTAGCTTGTTATATAGAAATTTTGTTGTCTACTTTGTTGATGTGCAGTGAAACTAGTAGCTACACATAAAATTTAGCCAGGTAATGTATTGGTTTGACCACACCACTTACATATACATGTGAAGGCTGTCTTTGCACACGTGATTTAAACCAGTTTCCTAAATAAACTAGCTTGTTAGCAAAACATTTAGCTTGTTATTATATTGTTTAACCGTGTAAATATATTTGTGTTTGGTAAACTATATATACTTGTAGATATTTTCCCGGTACATATCTACGAGTTAAGATAGTAATTTAAGTAAATTAGTTTGTTATAAAAACATTTAGCTGTCTATTTTGTTGATGTACAGTGAAACTACTAACTGTACGTATAATTTAGCCGGATACTGTATTGGTTTGAATACTTACATATATATGTGAGGGCCTTCTTTGCACATATAACGATTTGGGCCGACTTTGTAAATAAAATAGCTTGTTAGCTAAACATTTAGCATGTTATAATATTATTTGACCGTGTAAATATATATATATATATATGTCTGGTAAATTGCATGTACTCGTAAATACTTTTTTTTTTGAATTGAACGTAAATACTTTCTTAGTACATATATGAGTTAAGAAGGTATTATAAGTAAATTAGCTTGTCATAAAAACATTTAAATGTCTACTTTGACTGGCTACACGAATGTTTGCACACATTTGATTAGAATATATGTCTAAGTTGCTTACGTGCCACAACCTTTTCCAATCTCTTTGTAATGGCACAACGTAACAAATATGTTTTTCATGATTTGGCAAAAGCTTTGAAACAAATAGCTGTAAAAAACAACGTTGACATTCGGGTTTCAAAAACGATATAAACTATGCTTTGGCTGGTTAAAAAAAAATGTGCTAATGGTTAGTTATAAATTAGCTGGCTAAAAGATATAAATTTATCCGTGTCTTGGCTTTTCCGAGCTGGAGAGTAAGCTTCAGAAGGATTGGTCTTCCTCTTTAATGGTGTTGCATCAGGTTTAGCTCCACATAACTCAATGTCTCTAAGCTTCAGACACCCTTTCTTGATAATAAAATTTGCAGCTTTCTAAACGATTAAAAAGACTCATCAGATCTAAATCAGTTATATACTTTATCCTTAGAAGACTCAGTTCTTACAAACGTATCTTTGTTAAAACTTTAAGTTCTCAAGCGAAATCACCGTCACACAGTTGCTGAGATTAAAGGAAATTTTACAAGAGAGGAAAAGAATTGGAAATAACTTAAATAATATTTCTGACAAAAAGAGATTTCGTGTGAATGTGGGTTATCAAATATAAAAATAATAAAGAAAGATATGTGATCAAAATAGAATAGGGCTATAATGGTCCAAAATATATCGATAATAACAATGAAATATGAAAATGTGTATTCACCTTAATATGAAGAAAAGCTAATGTGTGTAGTGCAAATACTCTTTATATTTTCAACTTGTTACCAGGTCCAATTTGTTAGTCAAACCCGACTTCGATGCCAACAATTTGTACATAAATTCTTAACATGTTTTATTAGCATAATTTCTCTCTATTTGACTTGTTCCAATTCATTTAGAACTCACATCAACATTGGGATTCTGCGTCAAGAAATGTGGGATCATCAACTGTC